TAGTAGTTTAATTTATTTCTTATATTTCTTGATTAATTTTGCATACTCATTGCATTATTTGATTGATTGGCCACCAATTAGATAATTAGTTGCTTGTTGTAGTGTTGGAAGACTCATAATAAGTTTAGAACGCGACAAAATTAACATGTGCAATAGATGTTAGAAATAACATTTATCACGTGTGCAATTATATAGATAATCTAAACTTTAATGCATTTTAATCATTCAATTTCAAGCTAGAAATATATTCGAGTCGTGATTAGGATATATTTAATTTGTTTTGAAAAAGTTTTATATATAATAGATTAATTGATTGTCAAGAACGCACGAACAAAATTAGATTACAAATCAATAATTGAAATAGATAGCAATATGTGGATTTGAAATTCAATACAATCATCCATAAATTGATAAAAACCATATTTTTACAGGTTTTTAGATTAATTTAGAATAAATCAAATCAAAAATCTTTTGTATTATATAATTCGAATTACATACGAAACTAGTGAACTTGAATTGGATTTATTCCCTGCGAAATGATACTCTCAACACACTAAACCCCTATTTGACACATATTCTTTCAAAATACATTATTTTAAAACTCATTTTCAATCACACATTCTTCAATATAATAATATTTTCTATCATATCAATAACATTTTCTTACTTTTTAACCACATATTTCTCATCATATCACTATTTAAAATACATTCATTTCTCAATAATATCCATTAAACACACCATAATTATATTATTTGTCAACAATCCCGTAAGTTTGTGGATTTTGGACGAATATCATCCAAATCAATTGGATTACTACTTTTATGAGCATTGTCAACACCCAAATTCAGCAAATAATCAGGAATGAAGATGTCCTTGGGATCGAAAAACTCATTATGAAATTGAGATTGTGACTTTATAGATTAGTGATCACCAAACAAGCCCTCAACAAAAAAGCATTAGGATCTATTTATATATAATAGAATATAAATATATAAATATGAAATATAATTATATTAGAGAATGTAAATTGAATGAAGATGGAATGTATAAACTGAATAATGTAGAATGTAGAGAATAGAGTTGAGCTTTGAATTGATTGAAGTAATTTGATTGTAAAGAGAATGTAGAAGAGGGTAGATAATTTGTGTTAAAATGAATTGGAGTTGCTAAGCATTTATAGAGTAATAAAATTAAATAAATAAATAATTCAGTAACCATTGAGGACTTTTCAATGTTTTGTGACAACGGCCACAACACTTTGAGATAAATGACCAAACGGTCACTAGGCTCGGAGAGCCCACGAGCCACTCGTCTTACTCCGCTGGCTGTTCGAGCCCTCCAGTCGACTTGTGTTTGGGCTTGTCTCGAAAGGAGTTCCAAAAATACATTCCATTAAAATGTATTTTTGGGAAAAATGTATTTTGAAATAATGATTTTTGAAGAATGTGTGTAATCAAAATAGAAGAATTTTTCTTTGAATTTACTTGTAATATTATTTTATTGTAGAATATGTGTTTTAAAAAAAGTAGAGAAAAAAATACATTTTTAATAAAATG